ATAATCGCGGCTGTAAATAAGCGGCATCTGTGCGTCTTGTGAGAACTGACGGCAGCAAAATGCTTACAGTGTGAAACTAACTAAAGTTTTGGGCGCCTTCGTTAAGCTAGGCAGCATAACTACGATGCTCTTTCTGACAAATCATACGCGAAAGCTCAGATATTTGAACAAGTGAGCATAGGGCCACGTAGAAATCCGAAAAGCGCATCACCTCGATTCGCCTCTCAAAGGAGACTGGACTGATGACAAGGCAGATGGACACCTGAAGCCAAGCGGCTTCCCAGTACTTGCGGTTATCTGAAGACTCACAAGCCAGGTGCGCCTTTGCAGCCAACAGTAACTAAGTTAGACTAACTCCGACATCAACTGGCACGTAGACTGGTTGATGTTTGGAAGCCGTCAGTTCAAAATCTTTGCGAATGTGGTGCTACAAACTCATTGAACGTCGTTGACGAGGGGTCAGTAGGCCTTAATAGCAAGAATGAGCATATGTGATCTGTGGACGTGCAGTCGATCTTTATAAACGAAACTATCGATTTCATGTGCACTCTGGTTGGGTTGGAAATTCCTCTCCGATAGAGTTTCACAAAGAACTGCTACTGTCATGCACTGCGAATGTTCCGAGTGTTTGAATGTTCCGGGTGTTTGAACTCGCCTTATCAACAAGTTGACGTTGTCGCGATGGACTGACCACTGGGCCCAGTTCTAGACTATCTGTGGCACTCAGATTATGAAAACTCTTCACAAAATTTCGCTATAGCATATCACAAAGGAAGTCATTTACTTTTTGTCACTTCTGACTACCTGTTCAAAGCTGATGATCGTGTTAAACGTGGTCAAGTTAAGCACCTTTCGCTTTCACACCAGTGAAGTACAAACAAAACGTGGTGGAAACGCTGTTCACAAGTGCAGTTCGGGAATTTCTGCATTGGACTGTGCTACTTGTGAATTGGAACCACTCATGAATACTACAGAACTAAACGGGTATCCTTCGCGGTTCACTGGAACACATTCTAATGGAGTTAAACATGATAAGCTTGGCACTGCATTGAATAGGCCGTTCTACACGAAGTTCCTCTTCAAGATAGATGGCACACTGTCAGTAACAACGCAAGCCCAGCGGGGACATTAAACCGGACTCAGGGGATACCACCAGACTCAACGGAAAAGGGGACCAACTGTTTGGGGCAGGGTTGATACCGACGACCAGAATATTTGTTCTGCAGAAACATTAGCATAGGTTTAGCCTCATCTGTCTGCTTCTAATATAGTCTACAAATTATCCTGCAGCTGCAGAGAACAGACAGATTCCTAGCTGAATGTGCGACTGGAGACAGTCCAAAGCATGCAAGTCAGAAAAATCGTCGGGTCGAAGGTCAGAATGCCATTCTACACCCAGACATCAGTGGGATACTGACTGACCCCTTATGGTTCTTGTTGCCCAACACAAACTCCAACGTTTGAGCGACAGACGAACCGCCGCTCATCAAGTCAAACGAGCCCCATGAAAGTAGCATAAGTAAACGATTTGGCCATCTCAGTATTGATCAGGTGGCTTGAAGAAATGAACCAATCAGCGTTTGCTCAACATTGTTCCTACTTTTCATACACGTAACTCGCATGTTACACGTTCGAGACCGAAGGGATAAAAGACATTTTGGCACTTTGCAGCAGCTAGCGTAGGTCTTCTGTCAATTTTAATGAAGCCTTCATTCACTCTTTATACATACTTCATACTGAAGCCTTGATAGTAGAACGATTCTAGGGTTTTCAGTGAGCGGCATTCCGAAACTCTAACACAGCCACGTTATTGGTAGTTCCAAGGCTCATGTGTACTCCTTGACACGCTTAATTAAGTACCGGTCATTGCGAATGGAATGACTCGTTCTGGTACATAGAGTCCATTCTGAACGGTCCCGCCTACGCGAGCCATCTTCTCATTCAAAAAGCGAGACAGACCGACCGTGGATCACTTCATTGACACTGACTAGACATCACCCCCAAGTAATGCCCACAGAGGGGGCGAGATTGCCTAAGTGGTTAGAGCGTCAATTTACTGACGTCCGCGGTTCGAACCCGACCTCTGCCTCTCGACTTCCCCTGTCTAGGCTTGGGCGACCTGACAGTAGCCCAGCCCCCGTGCCTCCTTCGGGTGGCATGGCAGCTAGGCACCGAAAGGGTGCTACAGCTG